AAGCCAGTCTACCTAATCTGTTCAGACAGTGATGTATTTGAATTTTAATTATGTAATGCTCTCCAGTGTGGCTAGGTTTTTGTGTATAGTTAGAGGCTTGTTCAAAGTGAGTGGAGGTGGGGAGGGACCGATCTGCACACTTAGAGGAATCTGGCCAATCCCCAGGCAGGAAACCTGGCATAGTGGCTGGGTCAGCCCTTAAAAATGACAGAGCCTGGGCAGTAGAAGAGTCGGTTGGAAGATGGAGTGAGGAAGTGCTGCTGGTGTGGCACCTGGGAGGTGACCCCAGGAGAGAGGGGTCTACTTACAGACTGGGAGCTAGAAAGAGGTACTGTTCTACAGCCTACAGGAAAGTACAGCTGATCAGCAAGGGGGAAGCCAGCTGAGCATAAGGCCTGAAAACAGCTTCACCTTTACAAAAACAGGACAGTGTGAGTACTTCTACACCTCCTGGGCCTACAAGGGAGAGGGCTGTCAGGTGCAATACCCAACTATGTAGAATAATCAATTAATAAAATTTGCATATTTTTATATTATTATTACCTCTCCCCAATTTAGGAGCCCAGAGGTGGAGTGCTATGGTCATCACCGATTCACCAATAATTATGGTGGGGTCCTCAAAACCAAAAACATAGTAATAGGCACTAGGGGGGTTAAAGAAATTCCCCCAAAGGATAGAAGTTTAAAAGAGAACCAACAGCGGTGTAAATAAAACCAACAGCTTTATTATATTTCACAAAAATGGTAATAGACCTATTAGGCCAAAAGAGCCTCTATTCACATGAATAAAATGGATAACGTTATCACTTTAAAATGACCCGGGCCACACATACTATGAGTATAGACATAAAACAACTACCTTCCATTTTAAATGAACATTAATTGTGAGTCAATTAACCAGAGTCTCGTATAGTGGGATAACCACATTAAGGCCAGCAATTCAGGATCCAAGACTCTGGAAAATAAACTCTTCAACCAGGACATAGTCCACTATTAATGAGCAGCACATATTGATTATTTGAAATTAGGCAAAAGAGGTCACTGAATCAGCCCAATATTAGTGTAAGGCCATAGTGGCCAATCATATCCATTGAGGGATAACTTCCCTTATTAGCCACAAATAATACTAGAATGTGCACAATAAAGTAGAGGATCGCAGTTAAATATTGAATAATTGGAAGCTTGTTAGGTCTGTTCATCCAATAGACCCACTGAGTCTGATCACAGGTTTATGAAAATAAACATCCAGCTTCAATGGACATCGATAGACAGCAGTGTCAATGGTGTACAGTTGAGAATAGGGGCTAATGCCCATTTAACCTGACCACAGGTGTATAAGAAAATGATAGTATCCAAATCATATTATAGACATCAGTGTCATTGATATTCCACTTGAAGTAAAGGCTAATAGCCTAATGATGATGAAGCTTGAAGGCTAAGGAGCCAGCATAGTTAGACCAGATCAGTCCAGCTCAATCACAGGTGTACAAATATCATTGGTATTCAGCTTGGAGTGAAGGCTGACAGCCTAATATTATGGGGCTGAAGAGTTACTAAACCAGTGTAGTTAAATCAACTCAGTCCAGCTTGATCTCAAATGCAAAATGATATCCACAGTCAGTTTAGACAATTGTAAAGTCATTGTATATCAGAGTGATAGCTATGGACCATGTAAGTGAAAGGTACTAGTGTAGCAAGTGTACCAAGGAGAGAGGCTACCCACATCGTACTTTGAGAGAAGCCAAAAAGAAAGTGCGGGTTAGAGATAGACATGATCTAATAAAATCTAGAGAAGCCATAGATAATGAGGTGACTTCAGGTGAAGGCCCAGTAAGGATTATTACTCAATTTGGGACACAGTGGAATGTTGTGAAGGAAATCCTTGAGAGACATTGGCACATTTTGACGCATTCACGTGAATTACAATCTATTGTAGGCCCAAGACCATTGATGGTTGCCAGGAGGGCCAAAAATTTGAATGATTTACTTATACAGTCTGAGTTCATTAAAATGACAAGTTGGACTTGGCTGACGGACCTTCCAGAGCTAAAAGGGATGTTCCCCTGTGGCCATTATACATATATAAATATATTTATATGTAAATTCGTGGATAAAACAGAGACCTTTATGGATTCTGAAAGGAAAAGACAGTATTAGATAAGACAATTTATAAATTGTGCTACAACTCGGGTTCTCTACATCATTGAGTGTCCTTGTAAAAAAATACTATGTAGGGAAAACTAAACGCCAACTTCGCATTAGGGTTGGTGAACATTTGAAAAGTATTAGATTAAATAGAGACACGCCTTTGGTCCAACAATTTGCTGAATATCATGGAGGCCAAATAACTGGTTTGAGAGTGAAAGGATTTTTTGCTCTTAAATGATCTCCTAGGAGGAGGGACTTCAATGCAGTATTATTGAAGAAAGAAAAGAGTTGCATTTTTAAATTAAAAACTTTGGTAACCTTTGGGTTAAATAATGAAATGCGTCTAAAGGTTTTCTTGGAATCATTATAGTTACTGCTCTTTCTTGAGTCCCAATGTGAATCCTAGTTTTCCTTATACTGTTAGTGAACTCCCATTGTTAATGCCATTGATGATTGTATTAGGATTTATGAATAAATATAGAGAATTGGGACTTCTCCACAAACAGTGTATTAATATACAGTTATACTAACACCTTGGATGTTTAAAATAGTTTAGAACTAGTTAAAACTGCTCTATGTCTCAATCCACCTATTACCTTTAAAAGTAACAGTTTGCTGAGATGTAGAGGTGTTGCCCTTTAAACTGGGACAGCCCCCAACCCCATTGATTGGCTGAATGGGACATTTGTCTCATCAAAAGGCCGGGAGCTTGAACGTCCCAACGTAGCACACGGTCACGTGGGTGAAACGCGTTGACGTAGGCAGCATCAGCTAGGTCCTGGGCCACGCCTGCCAGAGTGGGTGAGTGTTGATCCACCTCATGCTGATCTGAGCAGGGCAGCTACCCCTACACCGCCTCTACTACACTACCGGGATTACATTACCGATTTGAACTACAACTACAATCATTATCACAGAGTCACCTACTCCAACTTGGCTCAGCTGTTTGGAAGCTATAACGGTCTGGTCATCCGGATGTACCCAAAGCCATCAGCTAATCTAGTTAAACCATGTGAAGTCTGCTATGCTGTCAATAGACTCCCAGATCTTTCTTAGAGTGGTGAGAGCCTGCGGGCACAATTTTTAGCGGCAGTTGCCGTATCAATGCTACACCAGTACCTTTCACCTATATGGTCCACAGCTATCACTCTGATATACAATGACTTTACAATTGTCTAAACTGACTGTGGATATCATTTTGCATTTGAGATCAAGCTGGACTGAGTTGATTTAACTACACTGGTTTAGTAACTCTTCAGCCCCATAATAATATCAGGCTGTCAGCCTTCACTCCAAGCTGAATACCAATGATATTTGTACACCTGTGATTGAGCTGGACTGATCTGGTCTAACTATGCTGGCTCCTTAGCCTTCAAGCTTCATCATCATTAGGCTATTAGCCTTTACTTCAAGTGGAATATCAATGACACTGATGTCTATAATATGATTTAGATACTATCATTTTCTTATACACCTGTGGTCAGGTTAAATGGGCATTAGCCCCTATTCTCAACTGTACACCATTGACACTGCTGTCTATCGATGTCCATTGAAGCTGGATGTTTATTTTCATAAACCTGTGATCAGACTCAGTGGGTCTATTGGATAAACAGACCTAACAAGCTTCCAATTATTCAATATCTAACTGTGATCCTCTACTTTATTGTGCACATTCTAGTATTATTTGTGGCTAATAAGGGAAGTTATCCCTCAATGGATGTGATTGGCCACTATGGCCTTACACTAATATTGGGCTGATTCAATGAGCCCTTTTACCTAATTTCAGATAATCCATATGTTGCTCATTAATAGTGGACTATGTCTTGGTTGGAGAGTTTATTTTCCAGAGTCTTGGATCCTGCATTGCTGGCCAAATGTGGTTATCCCACTATACGAGACTCTGGTTAATTGACTCACTATTAATGTTCATTTAAGACGGAAAGTACCATATTTGCCGGCGTATAAGGCGACTGGGTGTATAAGACGACCCCCTAATTTTCCAGTTAAAACATAGGTTTTGGGCTATACTCGTCATATAAGACTACCCCCCTTCTGAGGCAACACCATTTAACCACAAGCCTACAGGGCACTTATACCCACTTCCTCCCCAGGCCAATTTTCAGCTTTCAGTTTTCGCACTTTGAATGACAATTGCACGGTCATGCAACACTGTACCCATATGACATTTTTGACATTTTTTTGTGACAGAGCTTTACTTTGGTGCTATTTAATCAACTCTGGATTTTTTTAATTTTTTCTTAAACAAACCAAAAACCATTGAAAATTTGGAAAAAAAAAGTTTTTTTCTTAGTTTTTATTCTAAAATTTTGTAAATAAGTGATTTTTCTCCTTCACTAATGTGCGCTAACGAGGCTGCAGTGATGGGCACTGATAGGCTGCACTGATGGACACTGATAGGTGGCACTGATGGGCACTGATGAGGAGGCACTGGTAGGTGGCACTGATGGGCATTGATAGGCATCACTGATGGGCACTGAAAGGCAGCACTGATACATGGCACTGATAGGTGGCACTGACTGGCACTGATAGGCGGCACTGACTGGCACTGTTAGGTGGCACTGACTGGCACTGTTAGGCAGCACTTACTGGCACTGATAGACAGCACTGATAGGCGGCACTGACTGGCACTGATAGGCGGCACTGACTGGCACTGACAGGCGGCACTGATAGGTGGCACTGATGCGCACTGATAGGCGGCACTGACTGGCACTGATAGGTGGCACTGATTGGCAGCACTTATAGGTGGCACTGATGGGCATTGACAGGCATCACTGATGGGCACTGAAAGGCAGCACTGATACATGGCACTGATATATGACACTGATAGGCGGCACTGACTGGCACTAATAGGTGGCACTGATTGGGCAACACTGATAGGTGGCATTGATTGGCATTGATAGGTGGCACTGACTGGCACTGATGGGTGACACTGAAAGGCATCTCAGATGGGCACTGATATGTGGCATTGATGTGCACTAGTATGCGCTGATATGTGGCATTGATGTGGCACTGGCACGTGGCACTGATGGACACTGACAGGTGGTACTGCTGGGGCTACACTGATCATCAGGGCACACTGATCATCAGTGCCCTGATGATCAGTGTACATGTCCCCTCTGCGGAAAGCGGATTACCGGCTCTCCTCTCGAGCTGTCAACGTGACAGCTTGAGAGGAGAGAAATGCCGATAACTGGCATTTCCCTGTTTACATGTGATCAGTTGTGATTGGACACAGCTGATCACATGACCGAGCCGACATCTTCGGCTCTTTCCATGATTGGTGATCCGCTGTGTCCGAGGGACACAGCGCACCACCGATCGCCGTGCGCTCCCTGAGCCGCGCATGCGCGGAGAATAGGAGGACGTCATATGAGCCAATCACGGCAAGTGATGTATTCTATTAATGAATATAGAGCCTGCTCGGATTGGCTGCGTCAGAGAGGGGGGCTGATGATGTCACAACTTCAGCCAATCCGAGCAGGCTCTGTATTTATTAATAGAATACATCGCTCACCGTGATTGGCTCAGCACGGTATACTGTATGTAGCCGAAGCTACCGTACAGTAGTACCGCACATCCAGCAGGCTGACATTCTATACCCCGCGTATAAGACGACCCCCAATTGTTGAGGTATATTTTTAAGTCTAAAAAGTCATCTTATACTCCGGAAAATACTGTAGTTGTATTATGTCTATACTAATAGTATGTGTGGCCCGGGTCATTTTAAAGTGATACATTTTATTCATGTGAATAGAGGCTCTTTTGGCCTAATAGGTCTATTACCATTTTTATGAAATATAATAAACCTGTTGGTTTTATTTACACCGCTGTTCGTTCTCTCTTAAACTTCTATCGTTTGGGGGAATTCTTTAACCCCCTAGTGCATATTGCAATACCCAACGAGTTCTACCTGGGACATCATATCCATGTGTCACAGAATCCCTTGCCCTGGGATATTCTTCACAACAGCCAGGTGGATGAGGAGATTTTCATCTGGGGTCTGAAGAGGTTCATTAAAGGGGACCAAGTGCTCCTTGTGAAGACTGCTGGTTCTTCTTAGCAGCTCTCAAGAGGGTAGCGCAACTATTAGAAAGAGACAGAATCTGAGGAAACACACTTTCTGTTGTGTTCTTTCTTTACAAAACCTATACTGCTCCGTGACACTAGTTATAGGTATACCCTGTGTTAAATATTTATTGGTAAAATAAAGATTTTATATAAATGGCAAAAAGATAAAAAAGGATAAAAATAAAACTCTATAAAAATTATTGTCTATAAAATCCTTTCTCAGAGCTCAATCCCACCTATTAGCACTTTTCTGTGCTGAAAAAACCCCCCACAAAAGCACCATGCTTTGAGCTACTTCAGTTTGAAAAGCAGCAAATGCTGAATATATTGGGTATCCTAGACAGTTCATTGCAGAATTAATTAAATTTCTCACTGGGGTAAATGAGGTGACAAGGCGTGATCAAGCGAGATTGAGGTGATGCTTTCACTATATTTTCCAACAAGATAAAGGATGTGAAGAATGAGACTGTTAAGCAAGTTCTCTGTAGCTTTTAGGAAAGTAGGTGTAATTAGTAAGTTTGTGCCTTTCACTAGGAATGCTGCAGGAATATCACAGTTCTTCACACAAATTATCCCCTATCAGCACACTTTCTGGTCTTGGTGTTCTATCTGAATTGCAATTTTAGGTCTTTTGGTTTTTAGGTCTTAAGTTTTATTTTTACAATTTACATTTTTTTTGTTTTTCTTTTCCTTGTAAGTCCATCCCTGCTTTGGTCAAGCAAAGATAGTCAAGGACAGCAATGCAAGTACTCTTGAGTACTCTTCTTTGGCAAGAAAACAGTCCTGGGCCCCTATATTACTTTGTTCCTATGCAAAAAAAATTTCCCTTGCAAGAAAAGGCCACCAACTCAATTACATCAAACAATCCAGCAGTGTACTGCAAATATAATGCAGCTCTGAGAACAAAATAGTCAGTAAAATGTGAATGATGAACTTTGAGCTCCCCAAACTTGAAAAAGCTGTTTCACTGGCTGCAGCTGATCCATTATGTTTTTGAGGTACTAGCCTTCCCTACTGCGTATTTCATGTCAGAGAGGGTCTTCAGCCCTGAGGAACATGTACCAATATAACAATGCAAAGAAAAAAAGCTATCATTCAGCAGAGAGAGCATTTTTTTTAGGTGGCTTAAAGGTCAGCATAAAAAAATAAGAAAATCCATGAAATTATATCCTTAAGGATCACCTTCATACAAATTGCCAAACAGTGTTATATCAAGTCATAGTATACAGTAGCTTGTGATCTTCTTTTCAGTTCCATACTGTATTGTGTAAAAAAAATTAATAAAATATCAACCCAGAGTACATCAAAATATCTCAAAACCACAAACCCACATTCCAGAAATCAGGCAGTTGTTAAAAAAATACAGGGTTATGTTTCAGAGACAACAGCCAAATATATGGCACAGTGGCTAGAGAGTGTGCAAGAAATCTGAGTGGGACCTGAGGCAGCAATGTACAGGTGGGAAAATCATATATCAGGCAGCTTATGGGCAGATGGAGTTCACACTGAATTTTGCCAAACTGTACACTAGCTTAGTACGACCACCTGGAATGGCTTCAAAATTTTATGACCTGCCTCAGAAGATCATGTAAACCAGGGTACCAATCCAGGAACTACCGCACCACTGGTTTGAGGATGTGTGCCCAGCAAAGTTTGTGTGAAATTTCCCTGCAAAAGGACAGACAGAAAGGTGGTGCCAGTGTAGCATATACTGGCACAAGATGGTGTGGGGTTAGCCACCTTTGCACCTGCTCCTACAGAAGTGACAGAATCTCTGTCTCAGTATGGCTCCTGTCCCCTAATTATACCAGCTGGAAAACTTATGGCAGCATTTTGCCTGAGCCTCTACATGCCTTTTGGTCACTGTGGATGAATAAGAGGGTATTAAGGAGGAGGGGGTAGAGTTCACTGGTCTGCCACTGTCACTAGGTGTCAGGATGCATGGTGGCACAACCAGCTTCAGCATTATGCCCATCCTGCATCTTTCACAGCTGCCAGCAAAGTGGCCCAGGGAACAAAACATAACTGTCTATTCTTGCTGGGCCACATGTATGCAGTCCGGTGGATCCTGCAGGTAACTACTGTATATAGTAGAGCAATGTGGCATTACCTTCCACATAATGGCTGAGGGCAGAGAATGGCCGTATGGGTGAAAAAAGGGCAGAGTCCACCACCTGGAATGCAGCATCTGTAAATCCCACAATTTTGCCAAGCTGGTATTGAGATGCTGGGCATGAGGGTGTCTGGGGATGTACTTTTTCTTACTTTGCAGCAGCTGGGGTTCAGAAAGCTACCTGTTCAGTGGTAAAGCTGGAAATGGCAGCATGGGGTTGGCAGAATCAGAGTATAGTCTACACTTGCCCTTAGTCTGTGTGGCTCTATTCTGATCCTCTTCCCCACTTGAAGTGTCATATGAAAAACCTCTGACACCCCTTGAAACACAGTCATCCTTATCACTTGAGGCTTCTGATACAGAATCTTGTACAATGCAGAGAGATGGGTAGGGAGGAGCTGGAAGTGTCAAAAGTAAAACCTCTGACACCCTTTGAAACACTGTCATCCCTATCACTTATGGCTTCTGATACAATACAGTCAGAGACCTCATCATCATCCCTCCTCCTCATCGCTGGAGCCAACTTGGCAATTAGCTGCAGCTGCAGGAACATAAAGCAGATGCAATTCATTTTCTCTGCATCCTGCAGCAGGTAGCTCACACTATGCTTAAATAATTCAGTTGATTTCTCAGTGCCAACTTGCAGGGCAATGGCAGAGGTGGCTGTGGATGAGGAAGAAGAACAGGACTCTTTTGATGCTGAAGATGACTTTACGCTAAATGGCTATAAAGGCTGTACATCATGCATGCTGCCTACCTCTTGATGTTTTACTCTGACCCAGTTTGTGTATTTAGTTTTTTTGCTGCCCTAGACAACTCAAAAACTGTGCGCCCCCCCCCGCCCCTTTCTCAGTGAGAGAGAGGTTGCATGGTGACAGTAGCAACTAGGGTGTAAAAGGTGGTGACAAAGAATGGGTGTATACAGTGTATTATGGGGGGTGATGGGGGAGCCATAGCTGTGCGAGGGTGTGATGGGTGTAAGCAGGAATTGTGGAGTGTGATGGGTGGTGAGAGGTGCAGGAGGGTTTATGTGATTGCTGTATGCAGAGTATAGTAAGGTGGGATCTATGAGATATGCTAGCAGGATATGTTGGGGTGTGATGGGTGTAATGGGGAGTGTTGGTTGATGTCAGGTCTCTGCAGGTAGTGGATGGGTGTATCCAGGGTAAGGTGGGATGTAAATTCCCTCCAATTCACAGATTGAACCCCCCAGAGTGATCTCCCTCCCCCCACAGAGACTGCCCCATATACACTGATTCCCCCCCCCCCTTACAGACTGACTCCATATACATTGACCCCCCCCCCCCCAACAGGCTGCCCACTGATCCCCCCAAGCACAGACTAGCCACATATACCCTGATTCCCCACCAAACACAGACTAGACACACACACTCCTGACACTTCTAAATTCCGGCTGATAGGAACACCAACAAGACAGAGTATGACAGTGATCATTGTACATTTCCATTCTCGTCTCTGTGTTTACTTTCTCTGGATTACAAAAAAAAAACAAATAAAAAGAGAGCTAAAAAGAACAAACGCAAAATTTAAATAAAAAAAACCCTAAATGTGAAGCCTAAAACAATAACATCAAAATAACCCCCCCCCCTTTTTTTTAAACCTAAACAGAAAAAAAAACATAAAGGTTTGTACTAGTAATGCTAGTAAAATTAAACAAAGAAAATCAACAAAATACCCCCAAAGAAAAGGGGGGGGGGGGGCAGCAAAACAATGACAGGTTTCTGCTGACACACACAAAAATTAGTCCTAAAAGGACTGTTGGGTCTTATGAAATCACAGTGAATGTAGGTGGCCTTACATTCCACTCTCCTAACCTCACAAACTGCAATTCACTGCAAAGGATCAGTGGGGATATACAGCTATGAATATAGTACTGTGAAATTTGTGTCGCGCTCCACTAATAACCAATTAATATTAATTATTAAATAAGTGTGTTAATATCCTATGTGACCAAATCTCTTAAATGGTAACTACAGTCAGGTCCATAAATATTGGGACATGGACACAATTCTAACATTTTTGGCTCTACACACCACCACAATGGATATGAAATGAAACGAACAAGATGTGCTTTAACTGCAGACTGTCAGATTTAATTTGA